CGCTCTTGTTACCCAGGCTGGAGTGCAATGGTGTGATCTCGGCTCACCGCAACCTCCGCCTCCCGGGTTCAGGCAATTCTCCTGCCTCAGCCTCCTGAGTAGCTGGGATTACAGGCACGTGCCACCATGCCCAGCTAATTTTTTGTATTTTTAATAGAGACGGGGTTTCACCATGTTGACCAGGATGGTCTCGATCTCTTGACCTCGTGATCCACCTGCCTCGGCCTCCCAAAGTGCTGGGATTACAGGCTTGAGCCACCGCGCCCGGCCAATTTTTGTATTTCTAGTAGGGACAGGGTTGGCCAGGATGGTCTTGATCTCTTGACCTCGTGATCTGCCCGCGTCGGCCTCCCAAAGTGCTGGGATTACAGGCAGGAGCCACTGCACCCGGCCAGAATAAAAGGTCTTTAAATGGAATCATTAGTTACATTAAAAAGTTTACTTTCCTCACGCCTGTAATCCTAGCACTTTGGGAGGCCGAGGTGGGTGGATCATCTGAGGTCAGGAGTTCAAGACCAGCCTGGCCAGCATGGTAAAACCCCATCTTTAAAAAAAAAAGCTTACTTTCAGACCAGCCTGGCTAACATGGTGAAACCCTGTCTCTACTAAAAATATAAAATTAACTGGACATGGTGGTGTGCACCTGTAATTCCAGCTACTCCGAAGGCTGAAGCAGGAGAATCACTTGAACTCAGGAGGCAAAAGTTGAAGTAAGCGGAGATGGTGCCATTGCACTCCAGCTGGGCTGCAGGAGTGAACCTGGGAAGCAGTGAGCCAAGTGCCACTGCACTTCAGCCTGGGTGACAGAGGGAGACTCCTCAATAAATCAATAAATTAATTAATTTTGTGTTTTAATTTCTAATGTGATAAATATAATAGCTGTAACCCATGTTAACTAAAGCATTTTAGAATGTCAATAGTCTGCAGGAATGTTAAACCAAAAAGTTTGAGAATCACTCGTCTAGTTTTATGTCTTGCTATCCAGTGGGTAATAAATCTTGGTTATGTGTGGCGCTGGGCCATGTGCATTTTTCCACATACATTTTAGAACCAGCTGTGATGTTCCACAAGAATACCTGTTAGGATTTTGATTGGAATTGTGTTGAATCGGTTTGGAATAATGGACATTTTTTTGTTTTGTTTTTAGTTACGCCTGCTGTAATGGGAATTTGAAATCTTTATACCATTGAATCTTCTGATTCATAAACATGATTTCTCCATGTGTTTTTATCTTTAATGTTTTTCTCAATATTGTTATATAATTTACTGTATAAAGGTTTTGCACATTTTCCAAACAGAATTTTTGAAGGAAAAAATTCTACTTAGAAATAAACTGGCCAGGCACAGTGGCTCGTGCCTGTAATCCCAGCACTTTGGGATGGAGGCCAAGGTGGGAGGATCACTTGAGCCCGGGAGTTTGAGACCAGCTTGGGCAATACAGTGAGACCCTATCTCTACAAAGAAGAAGTAAGATAAACTTAATTCACAAGAATTAACAAGAAAATGAAAGATACTTCTAAAAAATATTATAGAACTTTACGGAAGCTCATAAAAGAATTGAATAAATGCTAAAACATTTTGTTCTTGAATAGGATAGCTCTCACATTGATAAGATGTCAGCATCCCCTCCAATTTGCTGAATTTTATATTGTTAGACACTTTTTTTTTTTTTTAAACATTTTATGATTTCTAAAGTTAAGGTATGCCTTAAAACTAATGACATCTTCCAGGTACTTCTGGCCATGTGGTAATTATGAAGATAGGTTAGGAGCATTTTAACCAATTTATTTTACATAACTTTCCTTTCATTATAAGCACAAGTCAAATGTGATATGAAAACAGAAGCGTTTAAGTCTAAAGAAGCTCTTTCAATTGGCATAAAATAACCATGCATCTTCTTAAATTTAGTGAAATAGGCCAGGCACAGTGGCTCACGCCTATAACCCAGCACTTTGGGTGGCTGAGGTGGGAGGATTACTTGAGGCCAGGAGTTGGAGACAAGCCTGGACAATATAGTGAGATGCCACCTCTGGGGGAGGAAAAAATATATATTTACGTATATATATATAGTAAAAAATATATGTGTATATGTATATATACACACACACATATAATTTGTGAATTTAAAGTAATCTTAATATCTCAATAGGCTTTTAAAACTTGATTCTTACATGAAAGAATAAAAATGAAAATTTTCACAAAAATTATGAAACTGTTCATGAAGGTGGTATTAGTGCTGTCAAATATTAAAGCGTATGCTGATGCCAAACCAATTTGAGCAACAGCTCACTGGCACAGAGTTGAGAGCACTAAAGAAGCCTCATTTATAGGAATGTTTTGTGTGGTCAACAGTGGTATATGATGAAAATAGTGAATTCTTTAGTAAATAGTGTTGGATGAACTGAGTAGCCATTTGGAAAAAAGAGAACTAGCTTGCTACTCACATTTTTTTTCTTTTTTCTTTTTGATATGGAGTCTCTTTCTCACCCAGGCTGAGTACAGTGGTGTGATCTCGGCTCACTGCAACCTCCACCTCCCGGTTTCAAGAGATTCTCCTGCCTCAGCCTCCCGAGTAGCTGGGATTACAGGCATCTGCCACCACGCCTGGCTAATTTTTTTTTTTTTTTTTAATTAGAGACAGGGGTTTCACCATGTCAGCCAGGCTGGTTTTGAACTCCTGACCTCAAGTGATCCACCTGCCTTGGCCTTCCAAAGTGCTAGGATTACAGGCCTGAGCCACCATGATCACATCACTGCACTGCACTCCAGCCTGGGCGACAGAGCGAGACTTCTTGTCTCAAAAACAAAAACAAAAACAGACAATCTAGACATGGCAAAAACTCTAGTGTAAACAAAATTGAGACTCTAGTGATAAGCTGGGAAAAAGTAGTTGCCATGCAGCCTGTTCAAAGGGCTAATTTCCTTTACAAAGCAGGATCGCTTGCTGATAGAAAAGGCCAACAGCTCATTAGACAAGTGGGCACGTTAAAGACAGTTCAAAGGAAAGACAAGTGGCTTTCATACATAAATGTTTGGAATGTTCCTCAGTTTCAGTTGTTGTAAGAGAAAAGCAAACCAAAACTGTACTAAAAGCATTTTTTAAATATCCGATTAGCCAAGATTAGGAACTTTGATTAGCTGTTGGCTAAGATGTAGGAAAATAGCTACTTCCATATATTAATGGTAAGATTCTAGACTCTATGGGGAGCAATTGAATAATATTTATTAAAATTTAAGAATACACATACCTTGTGTAGTATAGTTAAGTTTAGATAAGTTGTGATGTATTTACATACTGGAATACTATAGAGCAATAAGAATGAATGAATTACAATTCAGACAACATGAATGACTCACAAACATAATGTTAGGTGAAAGAGCCAAACACAGAAATACATGTTCAAAAACAGACAAAATGGTTGTATTAGAAGTCAGGGTAATATTACTCTTGTGGAGCTCACTGGATGGAGATGTGAGGGGCTTTTGGAGGCTTATAATCTTGATTTTTTTTTTTTTTGTCTTGTGTTAGGTGGAAATATATTGGGAAAATTCATTGAGCTATGAACTTAAGAATTATGTACTGTTCTGAATGTATCCCATACTTCAGTACACATTTTTATGTAAATAAAAATAGCATGCATACATGCAGTCACACATAAAGAATGCACATAACTTTTGTTTTAGCAGTTTTATGCTAGGCATATAACATATATTTACACACACTCTTGCATATGTAGGGGTTAAAAATAGCACGAAGGTGTTCGTTGCTGTGTTTGTAAGCACAAAAGTTCGTATGAAACCTAATTACTCATAAGTAGGGAACTGGTAAAATCATACAGTGGATTAGTAGCAGCTCTTAAGAGTAAGGCAGCTTGATATGAAGTAATTTAGTAAGGTCTCTAAGGTATAGTAAATGAAAAGACCAAAGTGCATGAACACTACATGTAATATGGTACTATTTGTGTATGGGTGTGTTTTATCTCAAAAGGCATATATTTGCAAACATATATAGATATAATATATTTGGAAAGATGAGACTATATCCTAACAGCGGCTGTCTCTGAGGAGTGGAACTAGGTGGCCAGAAGGCACAATTGGGTGATACTTTCTATACTAATTTGTGACTTAAATTTTTAATTTTGATAAAATGCATATACCAAAACTTACTACCTTAAAACATTTTTAAGGATACAGTTCGGTAGTGTTAAGTATATTCATATCGTACAACCAGTCTCCAAAACCTTTTCATAGTCATTAAACAAGTACTTGATACTTCCTCCTGCCCTCGTGAGTCTATCAGTTGGACTGCTCTAGACAGCTCATGCAAGTGGAATCATGTAGTATTTGTCTTTCTGTAACTGGTTTGTTTCACTTAGCACAGTGTTCTCAAGGTCCATACTATTTTGTGACTTTTGAATTCCGTACATTTTCAAAAGAGCATTAAAGTAAAAAGACGTGAGACTCACTATTCAGAGCTGGTTAATTATGTGGTAAAAAGTTGATGGCTGGTGTGTCTTTTTCATTTCAACCAATATTAAATACCAGTTTGGGCAGCAAAACTACTTTATGCCAAAGCGCCACTTGAAGCTGGGTTTATGACGTGTTTCTCCTTTTGTCCTCTATGGGTACCCCCAAAATGCAGGCTCAAGTCCCCTGCCTCTTGATTCTGCTCAGCAGTTTCCCCCCTTGGCTTACTGTCCAACTTTGACCTGCTCTTCCAAATCTCCCTCTTTTCCCCAGGAACAAGCTGCTTCTATGCCAAGGGTACAGCTTCCTCCTTGCAGATGTTCCTTACATCTCTGACCTGGAAAAAGGGGGTTTTTCATTTTGCTAGCTTTTTAGTGCTCTTTTGAGATCATTATTGTAAAGCCCTCTGTAATAATATTGTTTCTCATGGATTGAAATGTATTGTTTCCGGTAGGATTTTTGACTAGATGTGGGAACAGAAGAACATGTTGAAATGACTCTGAAGCTTATGGGAGGACCGGGTATCATTAACTGGCACAGAGGGAGAAAGACAGGCTCTAGGTGGAAGACATGTGACTTGCTTCTGAAAATGGTGGTGTGAGATTCTGGCCTGCAAAAACAGCTGGAGTTATGAGCTAGAAATACAGACTTAAAAAATAGGATTTTGAGTGTGTGTGTGTACACACGCGTGCATGTATATTGAAAATACAGAAAAATAAAATGTTATCCATAAAACAGATCATGATTCTTAATACTTTAAGCAAATTAACTTCTGTTTTTCTCCTCTGGTTGTATGTGTACAAAAGTATTTATATAGCTGGTGTGGTGGTTCACACCTGTAATCCTAGCACCTTTGGGAGGCTGAGGCCGGTGGATCACTTAAGGCCAGGAGTTTGAGACCGGCCTGGCCAATGGGGAAACCCCGCCTCTACTGAAAATACAAAAATTAGAGCTGGGCGTGGTGGCATGTGCCTGTAGTCCCAGCTATTTGGGAGGCTGAGGCACAAGAGTTGCTTGAACCCTGGAGGCAGAAGTTGCATTGAGCCAAGATTGAGCCACTGAACTGCCTGGGTGACAGAGCAAGACTCTGCTCAAAACAAACACACACACACACACACACACATATATATATTTATATACATACACACACCCACCTCCACACACTTTAAAATGTAGAAATTATATTTTGTATTCACCATTTTCCCCCTCTGTGAGTGAAGAGGCCCAAGGCCAGTTGCATAGTACTTCTGTTAAGAGTTACTCCAAAAGAGGTCACGAATGAATTTGTGGGACTTGTTGAAATTGCACAGGGTGAGATCCTACACAGTTGTAGAAGAAAATGTGGCAAGAATAGGATTTTGGAAACTTGCCTAAACTTTTCTAAAACTTTCAGGATTCAAGAATCAGAAATCGTAAAGAGATGGGAGAATTAGGAGTTTAGTGTCAAACTGGGAAGAGCAGAGCACATTCCAAGAAAAAAGGAGGAAAAATATTGTTTGGTGTTATAAAGAGGTAGAGCTCGATGAAGACTAAGCCTTGAGATACCAAATTGAGGGCGTAATGGCAGGCACATGCTTGTCATCCCAGCGCTTTGGGAGGCCTAGGTGGGAGGATGCCTGGAGTCCAGGAGTTTGAGGCTGCAGTGAGTTATGAGCCACTGCATTCCAGCTTGGGCAAGAGTAAGACCCTGTCTCAAAACAGCAACAACAAGACACGAAATTGAGAAAACTGTTACTTGAATATGTACTTGAATATATATTCTGTCCAGCAGTGATGGAATAACAAGGACTGGATTTACCTTGCTATTTTAAGCAACTAGAAAGCTGGACAATATATGAAATAGCAATTTGTAGGCATTGGGTGACAGGCAACGCAAGACTGTTGTCACTGAAAGGTGGGAAACAAACCTGCTGGCTGTATGGTTGCCCCAGGTTACCATCTGGAGATGGTTTTCAGGCTGCAGAGCAGGAATGGCAAACCCAAATAAAGCCTGGTGTCTTACTGAATTGAGAGGACAAGATGGGGATTGGTGGGGAGGAAAGATTATCATAATTTTTGGGGCGGAGTACCAGAGAGGTGGTAGTTGTACACAGAACTCCAGAGGCAGGTGGAGGAGTCTCCTGAAGTCAGGTTGAGTCCTGATCTACACATGCATGAGAGGAGAGCACCTGAGGCCAGAGACAAGAACCCCACTGGAAAGGAGCAGGCCAAACGATTCCTGGAACTCACACAGAGCTGGAATCGTCTGTGTTGCCATTAGCCAGAGTATACACAAGGGCATCAAAAGGGCATGGCCTTTTGTAATGAGGCTAAGTTAGCCCTAAGTTAAACGCTGCTCTGGACCTACTCTAACAATGAAAAAGCAAGTCTTGGAAGATTTAAAGATTTCTCTCACACAGCTGATTGAAAGAATCTTACCTGAGTGTGAGAGCAAAGTCCAGTGCTATTTAAAGGAATATATAAAATCCAAATCACAAAACTCACAACGTTAGGCATTCAATAAAATGACCAAGAATGCAAAAAACCAGGAAAAGTGACATAATCAGGAGAACAGTCATCAGAACTAGATCCAGAAATGACAGAGATGATGGAATTAACAAAGACATGAAAACAGCAATTATAAATATGCTCTCAGTTCAAAAAAGTAGAAGAGATGGTTAACATAATGGGAAGAGAACTGGAAGGGATATTTTTAAAAGACCCAAACAGAACATCTAGAGTTGGGAATAAATTTTAAAGTACAATGATGGTATTAACAGTAGTTGAGACACTGCGCATCAGTGAACTTCAAGACAGCAATAGAAACTGTCCAAAATGAGGACAGAAAGAAAAATGGAAAAATTGATAGAGCATCAATTATAACAAAGGCAGTTGTTAGAAATAGAAACATTCTGACATATATGTTAATTGGAGCCACAGAAAAGAGGGAAAGGGGAGAACAGAAAAAAGATCGTAAAAAATAATGACCAGAAAATTTCCAAATTTGATGGAAACTATAAGCCCGCATATTTAAGTATCCCAAGGAGAATAACTACACAGGTAACCACACCAAGGCACATCATCATCACATTGTTGACAACCAATAATAAAGAGAAAATCCTGAAAGCAGGCAGAGAAAAATACACATCATGTACAGAGTAACAGAGATAAGAATGACAGCAGACTTCTCATCAGAAATTTAGCAAATCAATATACAATGGAGAAACCTCTTTAATTTTTCTTCCCCCCTGAGACGGAGTCTCACTTTTGCCCAGGCTGGAGTGCAGTGGCATGATCTCGGCTCACTGCAACGTCTGCCTTCTAGGTTCAAGTGATTCTCCTGCCTCAGTCTCCCAAGTAGGTGAGATGACAGGCTCATGCCACCACACCTGGCTAATATTTTGGTATTTTTAGTAGAGGCGGGGTTTCACTACGTTGGCCAGGTTGGTCTCAAACTCCTGACCTCATGATCTGCCTGCCTTGGCCTCCCAAATTGCTGGGATTACAGATGTGAGCCACTGTGCCTGGCCTGGAGAGACACCTTTAAGGTTTTAAAAAAGCCTACTGGGGCTGGGTGCAGTGGCCAACACCTGCAATCCCAGCAGTTTGGGAGGCTGAGGCAGGAGGATTGCTCGAGTGCAGGGGTCTGAGACCAGCCTGGGTGACTTGGCAAAACACTATCTCTACAAAGAATACAAAAATCAGCCAGGCATGGTGGTGTGCGCCTGTGCTCCCAGCTCCTTTGGAGACTGAGGTGAGAGGATCGCTTTAGCCCGGGAAGCTGAGGCTGCAGTGAGCTGTAATTGAGCCACATTGCACTTTAGCCTGGGTGACAGAGCGAGACACTGTCTCAAAAAAGAAAGGCCTACTGGAACTTGTTGCCGGCTGACCTCCACAAGAAATGTTGAAGTTGTTCAGGCAGGAAGCAAGTGATTTAAAATGGAAACTTAGATCTTCACAAAAGATTGAGAAGTGCTAGAGCTAATGTGGAAGTGAAAATAAGAATTTTTTTTCTTTTTTAATCTCTTTAAAAGACTCTTGTATTGAAGGTGATTGCTAACAGGTACAGGAGTTCCCTTTTTGTGTGATGGAAATGTTCTGCAATTAGTGGCGATCGTTGCACAACATTGTGAATTAAAGAAATAGCAGCTTTAAAAAGATAGTTATTTAAAGCAAAAATAATAATGCATATAAGTTTTGTAACACACTGGAGTAAAAGGTATGACAATAGCACAAAGAATGGAAGGGGATGGGAAGGGTATAAGAAACCTTAGTAAGGATTGATTGATTGATTGATTGATTGATTGATTGAACAGTATCACTTTGTTGCCCAGGCTGGAGTGTGGTGGCACAATGCCTGCTCACTGTAACCTCTGCCTCCTGGGTTCAACAATTCTGCCTCAGCCTCCCAAGTAGCTAGGATTTCAGGTATGCACCACCACACCCAGCTAATTTTTTTATTTTTAGTAGAGATGAAGTTTGATCATGAGGCTGGTCTGGAACTCCTGACCTCAGGTAATCCACCTGACCTCAAGTGATCCGCTTTTTTCTCAGCCTCCCAAAGTGCTGGGATTGCAGGCGTGAGCTACCATGCCTGGGAGAAACCTTAGTAAGGTTCTTAAGCTATACATGAAGTAGAATTGTCAAATTTACATCTAGAAAAGTAAAACAATTTATGTTCCCACTTCAAATGTGTAGGAGTGCCAATTTAACCATACCCCTGTCCACATGTGGTATTCGTTTTAAAACATTGCCACCCAGATTTTTAAAAAACTTCATTACCCCAGACAACCAATCCTCACCGTGCTTGAAGGATACTTACTTTATATCTGAAATCTTTGAAATTCTGTCAGAATCTCTTTGCCTTAAATTTGGCAAAAACATAAAAAGTACACATTTATTTTTTTCCTTTGCTTCTCTTCCTGCCCCCTTTCTTCATAAGCATAGTTTTCTTCAGTCATTTCTTTGGTTCCTACTTCAGGTTCATTTGTTCTAGAATGTGAATGTTGTGAAGGCACCTTCCATGTCTCTCCACTGGATAGCAAGACATAAAACTAGACGAGTGATTCTCAAACTTTCTGGTTTGACATTCCTGCAAACTATTGAGATTCTAAAATGCTTTAGTTAACATGGGTTACAGCTATTATATTTATCACATTAGAAATTGAAACAGAAAATTAATTAATTTATTGATTTATTGAGAAGGAGTCTCCCTCTGTCACCCAGGCTGAAGTGCAGTGGCACTTGGCTTACTGCAACCTCTGCTTCCCAGGTTCAAGCAATTCTCCTGCCTAGGCCTCCCGAGTAGCTGGTGATTACAGGCATGTGCCACCACATCCCGCTAATTTTGTATTTTTAATAGAGACAGGGTTTCACCATGTTGCCCAGGCTGGTCTGGAACTCCTGACCTCAGGCAATCTGCCTGCCTCAACCTTTCAAAGTGCTGGGATTTCAGGCATGAGCCACCACACCCGGCCAAAACAGAAAAAGGTTTTAATACCAATTCATTCATTTAAAAATAAGAAATATATTATATGCTAACATAAGTAACACTTTAATAAAAAAATAACTGTTTTCCAAAACAAAAAAACTGAGTGAGAAGAGTGGCACCGTTTGACATTTTCGGAAATCTCCTTTATTTGGGAGACAGCTTGGTTCTCTTATCTGCTTCTGCATTCAATCTGTTGCAACACTGCATTTCATGTGGCCTCTGGAAAACCCTATCATACACTTGTGAGAGAGTGAGTCTAAGGCAAAAAAAAATCACTAAGTGTTACTATGAAAATAGTTTTGACCGGGCCAACACCCCGCTCTGAAAGACTCTCAGGAAACCAGGAATAGAAGAGGCAGGCAAATCCTTGTATACACTATCACCTGATTTGTGACCAAGGAAGCTCTACAGAGCAGGAGGGGATGGCCTTTTCAATAAATGGAACTAAACAGCATCATCAGCAGCAGCATCATCGTCATCAACATCATCATGTCATCTAGGAAAACAAAGTACCCCATCTCACACCAGACACACACAAATTCCAGAGACTGTTGATTTAAATGTGAAAGGTAAACAACAGCAGAAAATAAGGCAGCTTATCTTCACACAGGGATACAAAAACCCCTGACTACAAAGGAAAACTCAGAAATGTTCAACTACAGTAAAATTAAGAATTTCTTTAATCAGAGAAATGCAAATCAAAGCTACAATGAGATATCATCTCACTCCAGCTTAAATGGCTTTTATCAAAAAGGCAATGACAGATGATGGCGAGGATGTGGAAAAAGGTGAACCCTTGTACACTGTTGTTGGGAATGTAAATTAGTACAAGCGCTATGTGGACGTTCCTCAAAAAAACTAAAAATAGAACTACCGAGTGATTCAGCAATCCCACTGCTGGGTATACACCCAAAAGAAAGGAAATCAGTACACTGAAGAGATTCCTGCACTCCCATGCTTACTGCAGCACTATTCGCAACAGCCAAAATACAGACTCCACCTAAGTGTCCATCAATAGATGAATGGATAAAGAAAATGTGGTACTTGTACACAATGCAGTACTATTCAGCCATCAAAATGAATGCAATCCTGCCATTTGCAACAACATGAATAAAACTGGAGGACGTCATGGTAAGTGAAATAAGCCAGGCACAGAAAGACAAACATTGCATGTTCTCACCCATATGAGGGCGCTAAAGAAAAAAACTGAACCCATGTAGACAGAGTAGAGGACAGGAAAGGAAGTGGGAAATAAGGAGGGATTGGTGAATGGGTACAAAAACACAGTTAAAAAGAACGAGTAAGTCTAGTGTTCAGCAGCACAAAAGGGCAACACAGTTAACAGTAATTTATATTTCAAAATAACTAATAGACTAGAATTGGAATATTCCTCACATGAAGAAATAAATGCTTCAGGTGATGGGGTACTCTACCCTAATTTGATAATTATGTATTGTATGCTTGCATCAAAATACCACATCTACCCCATAAATATGTTTTATTATGTATCTGTAATAATTAAAAACAAAAATTAAAAATTTTTCTGTTAGCAAAGAGATACCTTTAAGAGAATAAAAAGGCTAGCCACTAGCTAGTAAAAGACAGCTGCAACACAGATATGGGGCAGGGAGGAGAGGGGACCAATATATTTATCTGTTATATAAACCAATAAAACAAAGAACGCCTACCAGAAAATGAGGCAAAAGACTTCAATGAGCTCTTCAAACAGAAGATATACAAATGGCCAAAACAAAAAACATATAAAAGGCTGCTCAACCTCATTAGTAATCAAGGAAATGCAAATTAAAACCAATGTGGAGTGTTAATTAGTACAACCACTTTGGGAAACTGTTCTGTCATTTCTAATAAAGTTAAATACTCATCTACCCCATGACCCAGAAATCCACTCCTAGATATATACCCAAGAGAAATAAGTATATATAAGAATATTCATAGCAGCTTAAGTCACAATATCCAAAACCTAGAAACAATCAATAAGAAAATAAATAAAGTGTAATATAATCATACAACAGAACTCAGCAAGAAAAAAAAGAGTAACCAACAACTTGGATCAATTGCCAAAAAAAACCATTATGTTGGGCAAAAGAAGCCAGACACAGTAGAGTCCATACTGTCAGAGCTCATTTACATGAAGTTCAAAAGCAAGCAAAACACATGTATAGTGGCCAAAGTCAAAACAGTGTGGATAGAATAGCAGCTTCTTTCTGGAAAAGAGCATGAGAGAACTTTCTAGGGTGGTGGAAATACTCTATATCTTCATCTGGGTAGTGGTTAGATAGATACATTTATATGTAAAATATTCTTTTAGGCTGCACATTTTCACATTTTATTGTGTATGACATACACCTCAGT